GTAACTACCTTTTCAGCTGCCCAATTCACAACAGATAATTCTTGTCACATCCCTTCAAAATTTGCTTTTTTGAAATTTGTAACCAAAATATCATTATTCCTTATCTCCATATGCAGCAAAACATTGAACCTAATAGAGCAATGATCACTCACACCCAGATGTTCCCCAATTTCCACCATCTTTATCATCTCTACATTTGAAGTTAACAACAAATCTAAAATAGCATTGTTTCTGGTAGGTTCCTTGACTAATTGGTAATGAAGGCCATCTTGAACAGTTTCAAAAACCTTTCTCTTTCATGATTTGACTAACATTTTGTAATCTATATGCCTGAAATTAAAATCATCCATAATTATGACATCATTAACGGTTGTAATCTTAATCTCATTGTTAAGTTTCTCACTAATTTCATCAGTATCATTTGGTGGTCTGTAACAAATTGCCACTAAAAGCTTTATCTCCACTAACAGAAACCCAAATGAATTAAATTTCCTTGCTATTATCTTTGATATCCTCAACTGCAACAGGATGTAATTCACATTTTACACATAAAGCCATCCCCCTTCTTTAATACTTTTTACTTATTAAATAGTCTGTAATCCTGTATTTCAAAGAAATTTCTGTCATCAAAATCATATATGTTTAACTATGTTTCAGTTATTCCCACTATATCAAAATTCTCCATTCCTACTAGTGCTCTAAAGTCATCTATTTTTTTTTCTAGCATTACAATCGTAACAATTAAGCCTACCCTTATAGTTATAACTACTTGTATACTTATTTACTATGCTAAACTATTCTCTGCCTTTTATTATTTTTGCATTTAGTTTTTCCTGGCCCTCACTACTGTCTAGTCCTTGTTTAAAACTTCCCTCACAGCTGAGTTAATAGCAGTAGCAAACAAGTCAGCCCTATCTTACTTAAATGTAAACCATCCATTCCAAAAAGCTCCCTTCTTCCAATGAACTGATCCAAAAAGTCCAAACACTGAAACAGCCAATCTGCTCATCCTTACAAGTTACATACTAACACTAATAAATCTTAACAACGTTAACACTGCTTTTAACAATAATTACAGTAATTAATAGATAATACTAACAATGATACTGAAAGTATGTTAAAAATATAACTAATGCTATTACTATTAGCAGTATTACCAGTAAGCCTACTATTGAAATTTGCAAAACCGAGTTACTTAAGCCTAATAACATGGGTTTAGTGTCAGAAACGTCTTAGTTCTGTTTGTATTGTTTAAATAAATTAAATACAAGTTTTTTATTGATGCGTAGTTTGTCTTACCTTTTCGTTTGCTTTTAACATTGATTAAATGTAATAGATCATAGCGTTTGATACATTTTAACAAGTGTGTGATACTCCGTAAGTTACTTTCGTCACAAGCCCCACATTTGATCAGTGCCAAGATCAAGTCTCTTCCATTTCGAATTCTTGACTTTGTTGTCTCATCAATGGCGCTTCCGGTAAGAAATACAAGGAGTTTGACTTCTGCCACTGTCAAATGTCCACCAACTCTTTGAAGCATACTAAATAATCTTTTCCACCGAAAACTTAAAACATTTTTCTCCAAACCTCGACACCAACTTCGCTCAACACTCGCCATATTGAATTCTTGTCAATCTAACAGGACCGTATCACGTAAAAAACTAGAATATCTATTGGTTAAAAATTTGGAAAACACAATCGTTGATTTGTTAAGACGCATATTAAACAAACGAATAAATTAAGTTTTCAATCCAGAATAAAAGTTACAATTAACTTTGATTGGTTGCTTTAATAATAGTGGTACTAGTTTCACGTCCAAAGTAAAACACAAAAATAAGTTTAAAACTTACGTTCTACTATAAATTTCGCATATTTGAAGTAGAACTGATTGTACTTTTTACTGATTTTATTTTTTATTGTAAATAAATTTCAACTTTGTAATTCTTTTAACTTTGATACTAATTCAAAGAAGTTAGTTTATGAAGTTTTCAAGAAATTTGTTCAACTTCCGGAACTGAACCAAACCCTCAACATGGCGGAAACGGCGTCGTCGTCGCCTGACCGCGAGACAGGTGAGGTGAATTTTTTTTAGTAATAGTTATGCATATTTTAACATAATATATGTATTAACTCCTCGTGAAAGTTTTAGAAATATGGCTAAAATGTATGTTACCTAAATTTTGTATAAGTTATTATTATGAGTATTATAATCCATTTATGAAACTTCGTAATTAGTTTAATTTTGTGTAAAGAAGTAAGTTGAAACTAAAAGCGGGTAGTATATTTTATATGCAATATGATTGTCGGTGGCCTTGACACGGATGTGTTATCGTATAATAATATGCACAAATATGCCGAAACTTAAGTTAACGCACTGCCGTTGTTTTACGTTATTCTCTAAATATTAATTGTTATTAAGTTTACCTTTTGACATTTAAAGAACTAGCATGGAATGCTGTCCATATTATAAATATATGACACATGTTATCTGTATTTTGTATTCTTCCCAATATTTAAGTCTTAATAATAATAGTAATTTTGCTTATTTGAATTTTTACCGCCATGAATTTGCATACCTAATTAAAATCTAGCTCACGTGGCACTGACAAGTATTTTAGAAATTATTGAAAAAACATTTCTGGTTTTATTTATCCAAGATCACAACACTTTTTAAATTTAAATGTATTAATATCCATGTAATAGATATACATTTTAATTTTTTCTTTGATTGCATTTAATTTGAATTGAACTTTAAAATAACAAAGTGCTTGTCTGTAATTCACTCGTTTATAAATTTGTGTGTATTCTTAGTGTGTAGGTATTGTGATTAACCACAGATATACATGTAACTTTTGTAAATTGCAAAAAAAAAAAGGTATAGTAAATATAGAGAATTTAGCATGATTACTTTTTAACTGTTAAAATAAATTGTAGAGCAAGTGTGAGAATAGGAATTGGAACTCTGGTAAAAATTTGTCAGTATTCTTAGTTAATTTCTTTATTTAATGTACATGTTTTCTTGTACCTTTGAAAACTGAAGATAAAATTCAGGAGTTTTCATCCATTATGTGGGATGTTTGGCTGTGGTAAAAAGAGTCAATAGGATTCTGAGCTATAATTTATAGAAAAATTTGTTGTGTGAGTTAAGATTTTTTACTTTGTGTAAATTGTTTATTGCTTGGAATATTGTTTGAATGTTTGCTGTTTTTCTCAAAGAATGGGTATTAATTTATGAAAGAGATTACAGGAATGAGCAACCATAGTGATTACTCATTTAAAAGAAATGTGTTGTTAGATTATTAAATTTGATCTTATATTTCTTTGGAATGTGGGAGAGGGATGATTAGACATTTTGACATGCTTTCTTTTAGCAGCCTGTTTGACTTTTGTAAAAATATGATCTAAAACAATGACTTAAATGTTAGATGTCATTGTAAAAAGTTATAGAAGATTAGATGCAGTTTGTTGTTGGATATGACTGCTACTTTTCTAAAAATTAGTGATTTTTTAAATTGTTATTATGAGATTGAAGTGGAAATGAATTTTTCCAAAGATAAGTTTTTGTGTTCTCTGAACTGCAAGGTATTGTTTTTTGGATATAAAGTTAATGGGTAATTTTAAACAAATTGGCTGGCATTCCATCATTGATATATATATTTTAATATTGTAATAAAATTGCTTTACCCTCAAACTGGAATATGTAAATATTTCACCATATTCTTAAAAGATAGAACCCTGTAGAAAATTAATTTTGATTAATTGATTTTTGTAAGTGGAGGGGCTGTCTCGCAGGGTTGAATGGTCTACTGTCATGTTGCATTTTATTTTTGTAGAATACTTAAAAATCTCATTATTTTTTAGTGTTGATTATCCGTAATAGGGCTGTTTTACAGCTGTTCCTTATGGGTGCTTCATAAGCTTATAATTACTATTTCCATATAGAAAAAAACCCTAATATTTTATAAAATTAATTGATAACAAAACACTTGGTTCCAGATATAACATATTTTCAAGTGCTATAATATTTTATGTTTTCTATCTTCTCATGTTAAGAAACTTGTATCTTTATAAGAAGCCTGCTGAACATTTAAATCTCATTTTTAACAAAACTATGCTAAAATGTTTTAATGGTTAACAATTGGTTTTAGTATTTTGTTACAGAGTTACATAGGCAAACATGTTGATGGAACTTTTATTCAGTGATATCATAATTACTTTTGAACTGTTTACTCACACCATATATTATTCATGTCAGTAATCATATGTACATCCAAAAGATTAACTCCTAGCTCATACTAACTTATTTAAACTCCTGTACCACCATTTGTCTTGGATAGGGCTCACATTCCTGGGGAATTAGGACAAAGAAGCATGGCCAAGCAAATATATGCTCCATGAAATGACCATCTTGATACAACATTCCTTAGCCCAAGGCAGAGATTAATGGAAGTTTATTACTATTTCACATCCTGTTTGTAAGGACACTAACTAAGTGTAGTACACATGCTTAAGATTTTGTTTTTAATTGGATGCTAAATGAGTTATACAAGCCTTTGCTCTACAAGCATAAAATTCCTGTGATCTCTGGTAGGACTGAAAGAAGTCCTAATGTACTGATCAAGCTACTCCATTAACCCCAATTACTTTATAGCTACCCCAAGGGTGGTGGGGTCATATTCAAAATAAACACTGTTATAACACCTCACTGTGGTGCCTGAACATGTGTCACAAATTTAGTTCTGCTAGCTTGTGAGAGAGAGTATGAACACAGTGCCACCAGAATTGGTATGCGGGGATATAAAATGGGATGTCAGATTCAGATTCATTTACCCTGAAAACCTACTCAGCCCCCAGAATGTTTGGGTGATTTTCTGGGCTCATTTTATCCTTCTACCCCTTTGTAGGGGGATACACTTGATTAGGACATCCCAAGTCTGTCTGTGAACTTTAGTTCTGCTAGCTCCAAAACTGTAGGAGTTAGCCATCAAACAAATTATTGAACACACAACATGAAATAATAAAGGATTCCATAAAAGGAGGTTTTAATTACTAATACCATCATATGGATGCTGTGAGTCCATTTTTGGAGAGAAAACTAGTTGAAGCCTAAATCTTATAGTTTAACCTGTACCTCATTTTTGAGTATTACATGACCCAATAATAGATTTTAAATTTTGTGAAACTAAGTTTTTAGTACTAGACAATGGACGATATAATTTTTCCCATTATTAATTAACCTTTTCCTTGAAGCACAATATCTGTTATGATATGCATTATATATATTTACATTAACCTTGGTATTTGAGTGCCCTGAAATAAAAAAAAAAAAGTAATACAATGCTTTTGTATAATGTGGCTTATAATTTGTATAAAGTATATAGTAGCAACTTTTTGACATTGATTTTACAGCAGTATTGATAAATTTAAATAGTAGTCAAAGCTTTTATTTAGATAGAGAACTTGGATAATGTACAGTTAATCATTTGTAATTTTGACAAGTTTTAATGAAATTGTATGTATTGTTGCATTTGTTTATATTAAATGTGTGTGTGACTAATTTGTATTGCTGTGATACAAATTTTCGTTAAAATAAACCACTACTTTTGAGTTGTGGCTGGAAACTTGTGAATATTTGGCATGGGGTCTTTCATAAACTTCTTATTTTTGTTTATTATCTTATTATTGGTCCTAGAAGATATTGACATCTTCACTGGCTTTTTGGTTCACAGGGCTCTTTTTTTATAATGATAACTTCACTTTGCTTATGAAGGCATTGCTCTGGAATGGCGTTGTGGCATGGTTTTAGATCTCATTACTGTCAGAAATGCCATGCTTTGTAAGTTTTTTTTTTTAATGTTGTACTTTAGTTGTATATTACTTAGTTATTTCATTATTTGAACATCCTTCCATGAAAAAGAAGAATATCCATTTGTTTACCCATGACAGCATTTCATTTCTTAAGTGTTGGGAACTTGCTGTGAATCAAAAATATAGGGTTAATCATGCCACATGTGGCACCATAGCTTGCATCTACTGATATGCTTTGTTAATATTACCAATAAAACAGATAAGACTGATTCTGAAGAATTGGATAAGCTCAGTGAATGGTCTGAGATTTTGAAAATATGTATTTATTAAAACTGATAATTATGTGGTAATACATCAGGTGATATACATTAAAGGATCTTATAACTTGTTTGGAAGAGTAAATGATTTTGATGTCATCACTTGATACAGTTGTAGACCTGAAAGCTCTTTACATGTATGTGTTTGACTGTTTGTAAAAGAAACAAACAAGGTACTAGGGTTCATTTATAGAATTGTATTTGTTTAGAGTAAAGATATTTTTCATGCTTTTTATAAACCTATTTCTTAAAATACTCTCTTTAGTCTTATACTCAGTTTTAGTCTTTTAGTTCTTGATGTGCTGACAATGGCTAATAAAATGTGCTGAATTGAAATACGTGAGTTATGAAACTGTAATAAGAATTCATATTTGTTTTCTTTATTGAATGTAAGAGGATTTGATTTATGTGTTAAATGGTTTAGAGATTGGAGAAGTTGACTAAAACATAATAATTCCATTTAAATCTTTACTCTGAACAGATACTAAAATATAAATAAATAC